CTGCGGTCCAGGAAGACAGGAATCACATGGCCACGCAGCTGGAGACCGTCAGCCCAACTTGGCATATCACTTTTCCAAACACCTTTGCAATTAGGAAGAGACAGGCAGCTCCTAACTGGGTCACGCCCACTCTTTGGAGCTGTCTCTGGGCATCAGAGGCAACTGCGGGGGAAGAGCTCCCAGGGCCGCCTCTGTTTCACATGTTTTTCATTGGGTTGCAGTTTAATAAACCTTTTATGTTGTCCCCGAAATTGTCAGTATTCCCAAGGGAATGCTAATGTCTTCCAACATATAGGGCCATCAGATCTGTGATCAAACTATAATGCTGACTCCTGGCAGCCTCCAGCTACTCAGTTATTCATCCCTGCCCACTAGCATGGAGTACTCCCTGATTTGGCTTTCCTTTCACCTGGACACATTCATGGGGGAACTAGTATTGTCCATATAAGGGTTCAAGGAGCCCCAGCATGCATAGGGAAAAGATCCTTGGGCCAGAAGTTGGGAGACGTAGATACTAGACCCAGCCTTGCTGCCTAGCTGTGTGACCCTGGGCAGGATACTAACTTCTCTGGATTTCACACTTATCTCTGAGATCCCTTCTAGTTCTAAGGGTCTCTAAGGGATTCCAAGTGGGTATCTGGGCTCTTATCCCTCCAGGACTCTCCCTTCTTCTGTTTGACCACTGTGATAAATAATTTTATGTAACGTAGCTTCTGACAAACTCAGCATATGTTCTTTCTACTGTTGAATTCTCCAGTTATGGATCATGCCAGAGAGTAAACTGGGGACCTGGCATGACTCAGGTTGAATGGTACCCCATTTTTAAGAGCCAACTGAGCCCGCTTCTACAAATTCTCCCCTATCCTAACCTAGTAGAAATCACCCGATCTCATGTCCATCTGTTGTTCAGGCAGCCACACCACATTTGTACCAAAGAAATACATAGGCCTTGGGGAACCTGGACCTTCTCCAGGGTGACTTCATGCTCCAGGTAAACATCTTTCAGATTAGAAACTAGAATCCCAGCCATCAATCAGCATCCTCAAATGAGAGAGACCTAGATTCCAGTACCAATACCTGGTCTACATGGGGAGGTCAAGACCTGGACAGGGCAGTGGTGGGGGAGTGGGGGTCGGTGTTCTGCTTGCTGTGATTTAATTATGACTTTCTGATTCAGGAATGTGGAAGCAAATGTGAATGAGCCAACTCTCAGGACCAACTGTCAAGCATGTGGCTTGTAATCTGCTGTCATCCTGCTTGTCCCAAGAGCTCACAGTTTGACAGCTCACCAGTTAGTGAAATATTTCCTCCACTGCTCTGATTCATACCCTGGGGACCTGAGGATCTTGGACAGGGAAAGGGCACCCCAGCTAGGCTGTTCGCTGGCTGGTAACATCCCAGTGGTTTGCGTTACAATGACTCAGCAGCCCTCGTTTTTCCCCCTATAGTACAAATGGTGTCAGAACCCTCTCCAAATAAAATGGAATGTAATCTGTCAAGAGATGGCATTTTTGTAATGAGGCATTCCTGCTGGTGGCCTCCAGAGGTCCCTTATTCTATAACCACTAAGTACCACTTTAATGAGCTTTTCACTAAAAATTGTCAAGAGCTCTCACTGACATCCTTGGATATTATTTAGTTAAGGGATTATTTAGAGGAAAGGGCCCGTCTTCTTGGGGCGAAGGATGGGCACTTGGAATATCAAGAGGAATCAGCAATAGACAGTCTGCCCTGAGAGAATGGAAGGAACTGGGAAAGAGAAAAGAGGCCAGTTACCAGTTATGATGGAAGTGTGAGATTGATGTGAAATGCAGAAAAAGGAACGGCTAATAACAAAGTGTCCCTGTTTAATACAAAACAGGTTTTAATCCATTTCTCACAACATTATTTCTGTGACTGCAAAGGGTAATTCTGTTACAGTTTGAGAGCATCCAGTTTCTTCTAATCTGATTCTGTTTGCACTGAGCAATCTTCTGAGGTGAATTGAATTTCCTTAGTAGATTTTCCAACTGAGAAGTATAATAACCAGCTGTTATCTTTTTAGTTCTCTTAACAGTTACTATTCTTGTTGTAAATTGGCCTGCTGATTTCTCTTCCTTCCCCGGGCACTTTAGTTAGCAGGAATCAATTCTTCCTGGGCCAGCAGAGAAAATCACGTGTTTAGACCTACGAGGCGAAGTTTTTTAAACCCTAGAACTTCTACAGTCATGCAGATTCTTCAACTCCCCTGTCAGCAATTAACCACATCTCATGAACATCCACTGAAATAATATCTTCTGCTTAAGTCTTAAAAGGTCCAAGGGACGTTGATGTCTCCATCACCCTAACTCACATCCTGGGTGCGGGATGAGAAAACTGGCTCTTCCTGCCCTCCTGGGCAGCCGTCCCCCTCAAGCCAGAGGCTGTGAACACCAAGGCATAGCCTAGCATGTGGCCAATACAACTTTCCTCTACCCTTCATCACACCGATCCTCAGCTATCTCTGTATACCTCCACCCTCAGATTCTAGAAGACACCAACTCTTCTTTGCAGAACTAAGATAACCTCGGCAGTTATCTTGTGGATCCCCTCATGTGAATATGAAAAACTTAAAGAGATCAAGCGACTTCATCAGGGTCACACAGCAAGTGGGTGGTGGAGCCGGAACCAGAACTCACGTCTGGGGACCCCAAGCAGCTTCTCTCCTGTGTCCCTTGCACCTCTGCCTTGCTCTGGTATTTGTATCTGCTGACCTTGGGGGCACTATGGTGAATAAACGGAGGTGACAGAGGCCAAGTGAAAGGTCGAATGCAGAAGAAAATGACAGGAAAGAACTGAAATTATAGGAATGAAATCAGCAGAGAAGGCACACTGACTCTAATTCAAGTTCATACTGCTTCTGGATGAATCTAATCCGATATTTAGAGAGAACACTTCATTGCTAGGTGATTGATAAGTAAAAATCAATCCTTTTCCTTCCTCCGAGGTTCACCTCACTTAAGAGTGTGTCTGTAAGCAATAACA